TCCAGTAACATCATTACTGCGGCGCTTTACTGGCAGTTATCGCAGCTACGAAAACACTATTAGAAAGAAGCACGAAAAAAAACAAAACCCAAAGCGTGAAGTATTCATTTCTATGCAGGTACTTTGGACGGAAGCTGAAGGAGGAACACGAAAACTAGAATCGTCGACAGAAAGCGGAAACGGCGCGGTGCTACATCGATGTTCTTGTACTTCCAGGAACTAGACGCACAGCATCCATTAATAATGCAAATTTAGACAATGCCTGAGCTAGGATAAAAGCAGTTTCTGATAGACTATGGAGACAATGTGCATCAACTTGTTTAGTCAAATTCGTTCAGCGCAAATCACTTCAAAACCTCCCGGAGATATCCTCAAATTCATGCAGCGTAGGTCGGCTCTGCATAGCTACTACGTGTAGTCACTGTACGGTGCTTAATAGGCGCATAATAAAACACCCGGGGTAAACTCTGATGCTTATGGCCGAATTTCGGTGCTAATTTTGTTGCGATATGCAAATTTCATGACTAAATTGTAACTTGTCTGCTTTAAAATTTCGCGCACGAATCAGGCTTCTGAATTTCAGAACTGCAAATTTACATCTAATCTTGCTTTAGGGGATTTCCAATATAAGCAGTAGAATTGGTAGAAATCTAGTGTTTTCTAAACTGATCAAAGTAAGCGTGGCGGCGACATTATTTTGTCTCTTTACTTGTCTTTGCTTCTTGTTTTTCGTACTGCTTGGCACGGCGTTTATTGCTGAGCCCTAAGGAATTCCTGTTTCTTAGCGTTTCCCGTACAAGGGCTACTGCGCGCATCAAAGGTTAACGCGATTATTTTGCGTGGTAACCGTATGTCAAACAGAGTCGTGTAGAATAAAAGGGAAGCTTACGCGGTATTTGTGAGATGTTTTATATCACTGCTCTGTAGTGCAGTTTCTCGTAGAGATGAGCAGCTGTTTGCACGCTTTTTCATCTCGTTCTATTTTAAAACTTACGATGCTTGTTCTCGGCGATTAAAACGCGAAAAATATGTTACAGAATTTTTAAAAGAAAGTGAAACTGATATCCGCGAAATTAAATTTATTTTCGGTACCTAGCGCAGTTACAAGTTACTACTTTCCCTCTCAGTTCGTGCAGTTTTGGTTGCATATTTCAAATAAACAGTCTCGCCCACAGGGTAGCCGGTGCGATTATGCGTTCTGCGCGGTTTCGGCCAGCGGATGTTTGTCTTCTAAGGATTTTCACAGTTTTACACCTTGGTTTGTAAAAAAATAGTCGATACGCTATTTTGCTCTTAAGCTGCTAGATTTCACACAAAAAATTTCATGTATCAGTGCATGGAACGTAAACGTACGTGAAGGCTGAATATGAAACCTTTAGCGGCGAGCATTGTTCCAAAATTTTGATCTCCTGGTTCTCTGGCTTTCGAGTAACTTTCGGGCCAAAACTTTCACGTGGTCGTATATGAAACTCCGTCAACAATGAATAGACCCGGGGTTTTGCAGCACTAGTGCCCGTAGAGCTGAAAGAAGGGAGGACGAAAGACCCTTTGCCCCCTCTCCCC